TGGACGCTGATCAGGGGCAGTTGATGTGTTTACCGAGCACTCGAGAAGACACCGTCAGTGCGCTGTTGGGTGGGTGATTCCTACTCTTCCACTTGGTTTCCAAAGAGTAGAAACGTGGTTGCTACTTTGAAGACTGCCTGGTAATTGGACATATTGCCAAGAGAATTTAAGCGGTACGAACAGAGAGGAACTTGAGGCAAAAAGGTCTTCGGACAAAATGAAATGAAGTAGACGCTGAATTCTGAGAGAACCCTCGAAGAAACGTTTGCTCACACATTCACACAACAAGGATGGTCCGTGAAATTCCATGATATTTCAACATTTGCTCCAATTACCTTGCATCAAGGTGTTAATCTTTCAAAGAGTCTGAAAAAAACAACAGATGAACAACACATCTAATGCGTGGGGGGGGCAGATGCAGTTACGGACCACTTATTAGCATTTTTTTCGGCACATACATCCTTAGTTTAAGAGGTGGAAGTGTCTTTTTTTACATCCTTTATTGATGAAAAGACGCACACTTAATTTGCACGACGCGATTTTGAAGGTGGCCATACAGGGATTCGAACTTGAGTCATCCAAAAGTAACTTCTCTACGCTAACTGCTGGACCGCCCGGGTTGGTAGCCCTCGCTCCATGCTGAATTCTCAAATAAGGAGACTCTATAGATGGTTTATGTAAGATACTTCAAAGCACTGGCTTTTGGACAGCAAGAATCACTGGCCGCGAAGGATAACAGCACACAGAACATTGCCTGCCTGAAATAATTGGCAATCCCACTCCTGCACACCTGAGAACAGTGATGAATAAACAGCATTTCTGGAGTTTGTTTTAGCCCTCTTTAAGTTGACCTGTTCTTCAGTAGAACAGACCACAAAATTAAGGGTAGGTATGGCGCTAAGATGACGAAAAGTGAGTGGAGACAGGAGAGAATCTAGAAGCACAAGAGGGCGAAGGAAAGGGTAGTGGTCATCTAGTTTGTGTCTGGTTGGCTGAACTGATTGGAAGAAATCCCGTTCAGCCCAACATTCTGCAAATAGCAGCAGCATCAATACCTGTCTATATTGTCGAACATGCTCCAGACAAGTGGTCAAATGAAACAGCGAGAAGATATTCGCCTGTCAACGAGCAAACAACTGAGATTTTGGCAGAAATGGTGGTCTGTGTTCAGATTAAGAGTAACAGGTCGACTGCTTTTCCGAAGACATGGTTTGAAACTTACATATTTGTGTCTGCTGCACCAATCTTTTCCGCGTCAAACTCCAGTTACCGGGATCTATTTGAGCGCAGACATTGGACCATCGAGGACCTCAACTCAAATCAAATCACGTCAATTCAAGACAGTTATAGCTCTTCGAATCCTAAGGTGAACTTTTAACATATAAATGAAATGATTCGACATATGGTTAGAAAACTGCCCGAGCTGTGCACAAATAGACGGGGGGGGGGGGAAGTCAGCTGAAAAGCGGGTCCAATAAGGAATCATAGAACTGCGGTGTGTGAGGGTTCCGGCAGGTGAAATTTTGTACTTGGAGCGACTGAATGAGGTAAACTTGGCTTTGCTGAGTGGCCGTTGAAGAGGCTAAAACTGAAGGAAAGAACTAGTTGGGTTAAATAAGAACAGACACATTTCTCGAGTTGCATGCGCGGAGGTAAGTCGGAGCCGCTTGTACACCAATGCTCGAGTCATCTTGATGTAGCTTACATCCATGTGGCCGAAAATATCGAAACAACGTTAGGATATCCGGTCAGTTGGTGTCTACAAGATACGGAGGAACCGTGATTTTCGGAGGCTGAAAATTCAGCGATATACCTCAGCTGATAGGAGGCTAGTTTGCTTAGCCTGGCATCCGACAGGCCTTACAAAACACGCGTGATTATCCCATGGAGTAGCGGGACAGGACACAAAGGTGGAAGAAATCGATTAGAGCACACAGAAGAAGTAAGAAACACAATCTAGCCAAGGGCCGAGGCTTATTTGCGCGATTAAGGTCAAAAAGACACGTAAGGACAAGGAGGCCACATGTTTCGGCTTTCTGGCATGTACACAAACCGTCCATCAACGTAGCGGAGGGAGTCAGAAAGGGACGGTAATTCACTGGTGATTGCAGTACATGGTGAAACATCTAGCTGTGCGAAAGACGGATCGATACCGACGAGAAAAGCCGAGGTTTAAATCCCCCCCAAAAAAACAAGACATTTGAGGGTCATTGAGGAAAAATCATCCAGCAAACATCAGAAGCAAAGACGGTTTTGTTTCATGTTTATCTTTGAGGACAACTGATAGGATTATTTACCCGGAACAGATCGTGTACACCCCCACCTGAGTGAGTTCACCGGCCATAGCATTACGTAAACTGCTTGAGGCATTCTGACCTGTGTTTCCCCACGCGCTATGGATCCGACTTTCCAGGAAGTGCACCTTGAGATTTCCGGAAGGAATCTGCAAATCACTGACGCATTTTTGCCTGAGAGCCAATTCCCTATGGCCCGAGGTGATTTCTGACAGTGCAATGGGTGGACTTCAAGAGACTGCGACCACAATTTATTAGCAGCTTTTCCGAGGTGATTTCTGACAGTGCAGTGGGTGGACTTCAAAAGACTGCGACCACAATTTATTAGCAGCTTTAGAAATGAATACCGCACAGTTACTGTTCAAGACAATTCACCGTAAGCTTATGAAACCAAATTTCGAGGCAATTTTGAAGACCTTGTTGTTTTGACAAATTTTTTTACCAATCTCCCAGTGCGACGCAGAGAATCTAACTAGATTTTATCGGAACTTTTGTTCGCTGCCTCGAAGCAAACTTCCTGAGCGGTTTGGTCAACCGATTAGAGTTTGTAGCTTTCTGTTTGCTTCCATACCACTTCACAATGCCCCCTCATTGAAATGTTCACTTGGAATCAGGTTGGGGGATTAACAGTAATGTCTTCATTTAAAATGAATGTCGAACGATAACATAAACAAAAAGTCCACCATACTTGGCAAAAAATCACCCAGACAAACAGATGCTATGTGAGATGCTGCCTTAAGTGTTCCGGCTTTCGTGTTCATAATTTCAATGTAGCATCTGGTCTTACTTTACTCTCCATGAACAACATCCAAAGTGGAGTTTGACGACACTATAGCAGGCAGAAAGAACATGTGCAATTCATTAACCAGCGTCTTGGCTGCACAGGTGTGCGAAGGTACCAAGACGATAAGTAATACTCCCAAATGAGTGACAAAATGCAACTTTAGCGTGCCGTTGTTCACCGCAATGTGCAGATAAACCTAACATGTATTGAGTGGTCATTATATCCAGTTTTGAATTTCTGTTCCTTGTTCTGCTAGGGTTTCGGACGATCCGAAAACCATCAATGTACTGGCTTGCGGTGTGTAGCTGGCATTGTAGAATATGGTTGTGTGAGCCTTGCATATTTTCGGATCGATGGCGAGGTTCCTGCAGCGTGAAATTCCGATCAGCAAATATTCCCAAATCAAGGGGGATATTTTTTTATTTGATCGAGCTTGGGACGATAAAGCTGTGAACGAAATCACCTTAAACCGGTTAGTTCTGAGGATATTCAAAATTATCTGGATGAAAATTCCAGTAGATGAAGGTAGGCATTGCAACAGAAGTAAGATGTTCTACTTCAGCTCCCGAAGATGTTCGCGGTTGCTTACTACAGTGAAACCAATTTCTTACTGAATAGTCGTCATAAAATCAATCCAACGACCAACATTAAGAAAGCTTTGGGGTCCGGGGCAGGTAAACGAAGCGACACGAAGTTCCAAAGCATCCCATGAGCAGCAAATTTCCGCAATGCGCACAAATTCGAAAAAGCGCCTCCTAGGTACTCAACGGTGTTCACATTCCTTTCGGGAACTAAAAACACTCCCACACAGTGTGAACGCGACGAATGCACTGACAACATTACTTTTGATCAATGCATTGCTTTTCCATATCGTAAGCAAGTTCAAGCCGTAGCAAAACAAGGGACACACAAATCGTTTCTGTAGACGAGGCCTACAATACGGGGGCGACTAAGCTATGAGGTGTTGGATCCAAGCTGTTTTCCATACTCCAGCCCGGATATGCAACGTAGAAAACGGTAGCTCTTCAGTGTAGAGATGCCACGCGGCTTGAAGGATGCGCTGGGTTTGAAATATGGTCAGGTCGCCCAAACCTAGACAGCAGCAATCAAACAGCCAGGGTGGGGTTAGATACAGTAATCGCTGAATTATCCCGAGCTTGTATGCTGTAATGATGCATCCGCTTTATACAATCACAAAACTATCAGAAGATCAAGAGGGAATCTGGAGTGCACGCTCGAAAAAAAAACAAGTGATACAGATTCAGTAATTTCAAGTGCTGAAGCAATGCATCATACCCCACCAAGCACTGAAAGTAAATAGCAACCATCCCAGAGAGAAACCGTAATGGCCGTTTACCTGTGGCATCCTTTCTTCCCGGAGGATCACTCTACTGAAATAGAGGTGATCGACAACGAGTAAAAGGAGTGATTCCAGATCCCACTCCTGTACATTGTCATATCGCCTATTGGGTTAATCTACCGCCTGGCATTGCCTTCACCAACCGATGCGTCAAAATGATCTCAGCAAACCATGCCGACATTAATGATAAAAATAATAGCTGTTTTGACATCGGTTTGGTCTACAGAAGCAAAAGGGTGAAGATACTGTCTGCCAGGCTGCCCAAACAGGAACGATCGAAAAATCAGGGTTGGTTTGGAACCACAACCCTTTGAGGTGGACGGTTTCGCTCCTTAATCAGCAATCCATCTCGAGCTCAGACTGAAACTACGTTTGCGTGAATGGATTGCTGTGTCTAAACAGGATTGAATGTAGTTCACGCTTTTAATTAATAACAGGCTTGGCTATTGATTTATCAAGCCTAAAGAACCATCGAAGTCAGAAACGCTGTAGCAAAAACTACTGCTAGAGCCAAGCCTACAGTGGAACATTAGGCAAGAGGACCGTTGAATACGTCGAAACTTCTAAAACAAAAGCGTTTTTGTTCTTGAAATACCAATAACTGTAAACTACGCAAAGAAGTACGGGGAAACATTAACAGAGAGACAGGGGGGATCAAGAGTATGGAACAATTGCTGCGTACTTTGGTCGTACATGATTACATTCAAGATGAAAGGATAGGGTTTACAGGACAGGGGGAAGCTCCGATTTTCAGATCATGGTCATAGATTTGTGGTCGAAAAGGCCAGTAGCAAGACAGAAGTGCCGTGCCGAGTCACCAAAACAGAGAGGTGGACAAACAGTGTTCAACCAGGATGCGTTATTAAAAATAGCTATCGATCGATATTATGGGGTGAGTGAAATTAAAATTAGACATTTTTGAAAATGGCTCCAAGTGCAAAAAAACTAAGAGATGTTGCGTTGGAGACAAGAGCGAAAAATAAATCAGAGTCGGTCAGTCTCCGACAATACCAGTTTTGAATAAAGAAGGTTGAATGAGAGTGTGTGTATGGGAGGTAATGAGTTAGCAGGGGTAGAAATCACTCAGAGGGTTTTCACTGATCAACTACTTTTTATCTACTGGCTCGAATGGCGGAGGCAGTTTAACCGTGGACGGTTCAACTCCCCAGATGTCACGGGCGTAATCACGAATTGTTCGATCGGAGGAGAATTTACCCGAAGAAGCAATGTTCATCAACATCATACGGGCCCAACGTGTCTCATCCTGTAATGAAAAGTAGAACACGAGTAGGCAAAGTAGGGAGCGAAATGTGACTCAACTTTTGAAATATACATAGCCAGGATTTACCGGGGAAGTAGCTGAAACATATTGACTGGAATTCAACCGAAAACATGCTTATGAATGAGAATCCGGACAAGACTGGTAGCAGGTTCCAGTGTTTGACAGTCGGTGTCTGAACGGTTGTCCCTCTTTGATCAAAACACAACAATAACAATACCGAATTGTGTACAGTTGTTCCAGGAGAACCCACAAAGGTAGATCAGAAGAACTGCGACGGATGCCCGTTTACCACACTCACCTATTTATGTCTGCGCAAGGTATAAAGGAATCAACTAAAAGAAGGACAGCTTCGAATATGGTCTGTATTCCAACATAAACGCAAAGCAGTCGTGCGTCACCTTGGTGGGGTCTCAATAACACACTAATTGATCTCTTAGGCTACATCCCACTGCGTGGGTGGTACTCATTCTACACTCTGGATACCGCTTCACCAATATACATCTATGTCAATGGTTAATCCGTATTTCTGAAATCTGACCAGCATCGCTACGAGCGTTTCGGGACATAACTGTGGCCACCAGAGGCTTGCGACTGGTCAGCACAACGACTTTTCTACCACGGGCGCATGTACTGAACCATTCAAGTAAGAAGACAATCGTCAGCAGTTCCTTTTCTGCATGCATTGGACTTCAGCTCCCCCAGCCCACTGTATGTACTGCGCTTAGGCCTGATTAGTTGCTACCGTACCGCACGACAAGTGGCACTAGCCAGCACTGGTACCTCGGTCACTATTCGTTTATTCTTTTCAAACGCGCACTTGTGTGGGCCATTCCAACACATCAACATCCTCCTATGAGTTCATTTTCAAAACGGTTCCATTAGGTCAACCAAATAGAATAAAATTCGATCCGATTCATTCCGTACAAATTTGCTGCTGGTTTCAGGATTCGGCATAGACAAGATTATCTTGACTTTCCCTGGATCTGTGAGTACAGGTTAACGGAACGAGACAGAGGTAACTTGGTGATTAATCCTCTCTCGTATTGGACTTATTCACTTCCAATCAGGCACTTTAATTTTCCGATCGGATACGAGCACATCATCGGTTGCGCATGGTGTTCCTGAAACTTCGTTGGGGGCATAGACGAGACGTTTTGGAACAACCTTCCTGGAGACTTGGGGCTAAGTGGTAAGCGAAACTAACGGGATCAAATGTGCAAAACGCCGTTATGGTGGCTGGATTTCCTGTCCAACTGAGGCTTTCAAAATGCCGTAGACAGATCGGCCTTCGTAAAGAACCTGGTGGGTTGAGTTCCACCATTTAACTGTCTGCGTAGGAATGCGGTACTGTGTTATTCATGACGCAACGCTTAAAAGGTGTAGTGTCGATGCGTAATTAGATTGTTCCTTACTTTTTCAGTTGCCGTAAATCAGCTCACCTAATCCGTAGGCCCTCGGAACCTCAGCAGCATAGCTCAATTTTCAACACCTCACAACGCTATTACTGACAGGGCAACGGGGGCGCCACTATCCACCAGAAACAAATTAACCTCCACTGAAAGACATCCTAAGCTGGATGAAAAACAAGGCATATTTTCGAAAATAGTGGGTGAGTCACATAAATGGACGAAATTTGCATAGGGACAAAAATTCAGTTTCTGGATTGCTATAAGCACGAGCATTATAGTCGAACCCGTTTCCATTATGAAAACTAGTAACACTCGTCGTCAACCATATTACTTACAGCTAACTAGATTCGACCTTGTGGTTTTTGCTCCGTTTCCACTGTCACAGAACGACTGTGGATGGTTTGGCAGGCATATCACTAATTATTATTATTATTATTATTATTATTATTATTATTATTATTATTATTATTATTATTATTATTATTATTATTATTATTATTATTATTATTATTATTATTATTATTATTATTATTATTATTATTATTATTATTATTATTATTATTATTATTATTATTATTATTATTATTATTATTATTATTATTATTATTATTATTATTATTATTATTATTATTATTATTATTACCGTTCAGCTGTAACACCCATTCGGTGCCCAGCTGCCATGCCACCCGAAGGAAGCATGAGGGCTGGGATACGGCAAGATTACCCAAGCCTCGACAGGGGAAGTCGAGAGGCGGAGGTCGGGTTCGAACCACGGAACTTCCGGTCCGTAAACNGTCACAGAACGACTGTGGATGGGTTGGCAGGCATATCACTAAATATTATTATTATTATTATTATTATTATTATTATTACCGTTCAGCTGTAACACCCATTCGGTGCCCAGCTGCCATGCCACCCGAAGGAAGCATGAGGGCTGGGATACTGCCAGATTACCCAAGCCTCGACAGGGGAAGTCGAGAGGCGGAGGTCGGGTTCGAACCACGGAACTTCCGGTCCGTAAACTCACGCTGTAACCACTTGAGACATTTCGCCCCCATATCCTGTCTTAGCCATGAAATCGACCTAGAAATTGTACTGTGCCTCCTGGGTACTTCGCCGATAACGTTTCGCGTTGCAATCACCTCGAACACCATTACTTGAGCATTGCTCATCGGCCACCTGTGAGACAAACTTGAGGGGAGTCGAACGACACTGTCTCGCAAAATACTCCGTCTTCTGACACTTCTTGTACTATTAGACCTTCCCTCCTAGGCTCATGTTCCATCACAGAATCTGCGGTTGCCTGATGTTGTTTGCATCGCAGCGCTTGGGTCTCCTTTCGGTATTTCTCTTGATAAATATTTCATATGGCCTTCTGAAGCTGCGACAAATGTTGGTACAGCACTGTCGGCACTTCCTGAAACATTTCGAAATGTCATCATCGTCGATCTCCAGCGACTGCGACCCCGAGTCAGTCTATCTTTAATACATCTGGAAAAATGGTGATTAAGTGATGGCGTACTGGTCGATGAATTCACTAACTAAACGGTCCAGTTTGAAGAACCAGAAGCTTTCAAAGGTTCAGTCTGTTGGTCACAGCGTTCGAAGGCATCAAGTATTATCAATGTGTTTGTGGCGTCTTCTTTTGCCTGAAACGCCAATATACTGAGAAGGATACAGGAAGTTTGAGTGTTGTAAGAACCCATGTTTCAGAACCTTAGTATCGCGGTCGACGTTGAATGATTGATTGACATCGCTTCTGGGTCACGTCTGAGCACTCGAGCATCGTTAGTCATCGCCGACCGTTTGGATGTTCAGCCGATATCTGGCTTTTCTGGTCCGTAGAGCCGGCGGCCTTCCTGATGCGGTCCGCAATAAGTTTCAAATGTTCTGGGGTTACCTTCAGGAATCTACCAGCTCCAGCCGTCATTCTGGTTTCCAAGTGGAAGTTGTTCAGGACTAAAAATCAACATGGCTATGTCTCCATAGCCACCGGTTCTAATTTAGCTTCAGCTAATCTACCCCATCAAGCAGCGCAAGAGATGCCAATGTATAGAAGCTAGGCGGACTGCGTTAAAGTGGGACTGTAGTCATCTGCTCCTGAACCGAAAAGAGCCTCTTTTCTCCCCAGAGAAACGTCAATTTATTGGTGCACAATCACGGATTTTTATCATGTTATAGACAGCATCGTTCACGCTCTTTATATAATTCTTTGGATGTGCACATGTTTGTTTATCACTGGTCCCTTATCCGACTGATTCGGTGGCACTTCAAACATTGATTAGAATGGAGCACCGATAATTGGACAATGAAAACCCGACTTCACCTTCAGTAATCTCTCGAATCCGTACCACAATTAACCGAGAGTTTTGTAGCTTTATAGTGCATTGCTGTCACCCCCTGATAATATCAAAAGGAAGCATACCGCAAAAAAAGTTACGTAAAAGACAGATACCTTGTAAGCCGCTTCAACCTCTTTTTGGGCACGCATGTAGTCGGCATAGTCCGCGCACAACAAGAACCGATCATCGAATACCAGACTGTTGTAGATATCGGCGAACAGCTGTGGGTTTTCCGGGGAGAAGTAGCCATCCCGAATCTGTTCGAGGCACAGCTTCAATTCGGGATTCTTCTCAATGTAATCCCCTGGTCGATAGCTGCAGGCGATGAATGAAGGAGTCGAAGATCAGACAGAGAAGCAAAAGAGTCGGCAATGTCAAATTAACAACGATGGATTTGTGAGGTACACCTTTGAACTTGATCTGTCAAAACACGGCTTACGAACGATACTGGGTTCATATACGGTGGATGAATGGCTGGCTAGATGGACGCTCGAAGGGGTAACAAAAAGTGAAACTACGAGTAATACGTCACAATAACCGGACAGGCTGGCGTCCACCAACGAATTCCACTTGTTGGATTAAAGCACACTGAAAGCACGTGATAAAAACTACCGTTCTTCATACCCGAAGCTACGAATCAAGCATTAACTTGAATTCGACGAACACGCCCCATTAAATTACTAGGGAAACCGAAACACAGTAGTTGCAGAGCACAACAACCAAAAAAGCCGCTAGTTTATTGCAGACACAACCCAACGCCCTTCAACTCTTGACATACAAACAAGGACAGGCAGGCATAAATTCGGTGAGATTCCCGCGCTTGAGAAAGATAATCCAACCACACGGTTGGATACATAAGCCCGTCGGGAGAGCATTGGCGTTGTTTTAATAACTCACTCACTGACCGTTCATTTTTTGCCTTCTTTTCAATATGCGTTTTACCTTGAGTTAAGTACCTCCAGAATCTCATTCGGTGATGATGAGTTACATTCACGGCTCGAGAGAAACTGCACGCTAGCTTAAGTTCCAAATATATCTGAAGGTAGCGCAAGAAGTCAGTGTGCTTGGAGTTTCCATGTCAATAACTTTTTGGGTAAAAGTGAGTAGCTCCTGTCAACTACCATAAAGTTGGTCTAAATTTTGTTTGAACAAACCTAATCTTCAGAGCAACATCCACAATTACGTCGCCATTTTGCCCCTGGATCTTTGTCATCAAAGCCGAAAATGTACATTACAATTATGAACACAAGGCCGCGACAATGCACTGCACACGCGGTTTGTGACTATGAGCTGTGGTGGGTAGGGTAGGACAAATTAGAGGGGAATGAGGTAGAACATCTGTAGTTGTTTAGACTCAACGCACTACACATGAGACTGCTGAAAATCCTTCAAAAGCTCACGACCGGTTTCGACCTTCTTGGGGCTCATCAGGTAGGTGCAGTCCTCGAGTTGCGTGAACCTAGCTGAACCTAGATTGAACCGATTTCAACAAATATTCTCATTTGCACACGAATTCGGTTTTGACAGGAGACTCAACTAAATTCAGCTCAGGCTCTCGTTCAGGATGGCCCGCAAGTGAAGCGAATAATCATAAACAAATTTGAGTTGGAATCCGTTGAGTCTCCTGTCAGAATCGAAGTCGTGTGTAAATGAGAGAAATGGTCAAGAATACAGGGAATTTGGTAGCTGTCGACACTATCAGACGATTACTCAGGGGCTTGGGCTTATTTCCATTCATCAGGCAATGCTTTCATCATACATCTACGGAAGTTTACGAAGTTGAGGTCACAAGATGGGTGCAGTTGCGAAGGTGGTGAGAAAAGAGCAACTATCGTGAAGCGCTCGTACACACTAAAATCATATTACTACCCAAACCAGATTTCAATAATGGACGGTCTGTGTGCGATGCACACGAACAAGATCGATGTTGCTGGCGGTTGTGAACCAATCAGATCTGAGATTCATCAGTGATCGAGAAAAACAGTAATGGTGGCAGACAGATTTTAGTGGGCGGTAAAAGGGGCAACCTTCAGTAAGTAAACCACATATTGGAGTGATACTACTGCTGATAGACATACAAACAAGCCATTCACCACCAAGAAAAACGGTCTAATCAGAGAACGATTGGCGTGTCCAGGATGCAATGTCCACCATTTAGGTTACAAGGGGCAAGCAAATAGCAACCGAGGGCCAGAAATCCGAATATTGGGACGTATACCTGGAACCAGTGTTGTTGTCGGTCGATAAAGATTCTTAAACGTGCGCCCACACACACGAAATTGGTGAAAATTTTTCCACTCTTCCAAGGCGGGGAGAAATAAAAGGGTTGCCCATTGGAGTTATGGAAAATGTTCTTAAATGCAAGATGTCCCTTCGTTATGATAGTTATCAATAAATTTCTGGATATCTAATGGCTTTGTTTAGTGCTGCTTGAAATCTGGGATTTAATAGCCCGCAGCTGCATTGTGCCGCCCTACATTGACTATTCACTTGCTTTCATTAGAACAGGTTGCCACTCAAAGTAAACGCCGACAACCCTCCGACCCAACAGGCCGAGGTGATAATGACGACAATTCCTCCCATCAATACCGTCATTGTTCTTCACTACAATTGCACATTGGCTGGTGTTATCGCGTTGTGAATACCCAGTGCACGGTTAAGGCTCCAGATAGCAAACGAGTATATATCAGCTTACAGAGACCGAGTTAAAGCAAACCACAGAGATTTTGAAGCACTGGATCCTCGTTGGGCCGATCTGTAAGGCCATCCAGAAGATAGGTTGTAAGATGCTGTAATTTCATTAAGTTCCGTATTGATAGGTTCTAAATATCGTAAAGTAGAACACAAAATCACACGGACATCAAGGATAGGATGGTTCGGATAGTGTCAATTCAAGGGTGGTCTAGAGGCCTGGGCCACCAACCTTTGTGCGCAAAATTTTGGGTGATCACCACTTCAAAAAGCATCGAAATTGTTCAGGCTAGGTTGCTTAACACCATCGTGAAAGCAACACAAGTTTGACCATATGCCCGGTCCAGGCGATAAACCGTTTAATGGATAACCCGTACCCTTTCGTGTCTAAAACAGGTGTGGTTTGTTTGCTGACTAACCCTTGATCGCTGTTCCTCACAGAGATCCTTTAAGAAAGGCACTGATCAATTTTACCATCTCAAGTGTCACCGCAATTGAAGAATGAAGCAGAAGGTGGAATGGTCAAGCAAACTGTGGGACTAACGATGAAACACAAGCGACAGACGAAACTGGGCGTTCAGATATATAGGTATAGGGCAGTCAATTTGGACTGAATTCAATCGGATAGCGTGGAGAGTTTGAGAGAGTAGTTAGAAAGTCTATAAACGAACGTGCTCACTTTGCCCTAAAACCGTGTTTTGATTTTCCAACAGAATGCAGCTCGTTTACTTATTTCGAAGCTTTAAATGGTAGATATAGTGAGACTGATTCTTCAGCTGCATTGGCCGAGTAAACTATCAACAGAAAGAATCTGTTCTCCTGATAATTGACCTGGCTCTGCAAAGCACACACTTCAATCAGATTCATTCATAAGCTATTGGAAGTGACCGAACTCCATGTGGTGCCTTCTAGCGCTCCACTCAGAGGTCGTCATCATTAGATTTCGGGAAGGCTGAGCTTCTCTCTAACGGATACAGATAATTTAGGGTAACTGACTCGAAACATCCAAAAGTAACCAACACCACTGCTTAGAAGTAGAGATTAAAGTAGCACCGACATCATTGACCTGTATGGCTGTGCAAGTTCAAATGGCGCGACAAGTCGGTAACAGATCTCGTTGACCAGATTAGGACAGTAACCCATACAAATTAAAAAAAGTTGCAAACACTACAAAGTTACCCCTTTGTTCATCTAAGGGGTTAAAAAGTACATAGCGACTACAGGTCTTGATTTGGACAATTTTCCACTATCGTGTTCAGTTGGTGACGACTGGACGTTATTCGTCCACATGGCCCATGTAAAAGTAGGTTGGATTTCGTCAAATCAGAACCAAAACCATCCAATGTACACCAAATTTGGGCTGATGATTCAGAGTACGAGCTAAGGACTGCCAGGCCACCAGGGGGGGGGCTAGCAACTGGGAGCAAATTACAGGCAGGCAGGCTCGCATAAAAGACGGATCTTACCCTTTTTTGTACAGTGCTTCCACCTCATCCACTGTCAACCCAAAGACAAACATGTTATCACGTCCCATTCACGACCCATCTCCTCGCACATTTCCACATTAGCTCCATCCATTGTTCCAATAGTCAGTGCCCCGTTGAGCTAATAAGCAAAGTGAAACGGTACGGGTGGATCACTGACAGCTTCATCAAGGAAACATTCAGGTGACAGCTCGGTTTCGAATGCAAGTGACCCATGAGCGGGAAAAACGGAATCTTCGCTCACCATTGGTGTAATAATACTCGCAGATGTTACCAAAAGCTATACACTAGTGGTGAGTACCGTTATTTAACTGTGTAGAATGGAGGGGAGCTGACTGAAAAAGGTTTGTGCCCTTAAAGAAGGCTAGCAAGAACAGCGATGCAATAAACAGATATGACCGTCAGTCGGATTAAAACACCATCATGCAACAGAACAGTAACGCACTCATCAAGACAACTGTCCTCTTTCCGCTTAAAAAAGTCTTTCTACTGCTTCATGGTGAGATGGTAATGGGACAGGAAAGGCTATTGATGGAAGGTCTTTAGATAAATGGCTGAAGATCACGCCATGATAGTTGAACTGGATCTATACACTATACACAGCAACGGTGCATGTAGCCTCACGCTTTACGGCTTTCAAATATTGTCTATTCGGTCCGGTACGTACTCATAGGTTAGTTAGATCTCAATGATGGGACAGCAGCCAGCCGAAGTCTATCCTGTTTTACTACTACTTTCTACTTCTATCACGATGCCTGCCTTCCATCAAATGTCTACCTAACCAAAGAAAAAAGTATCCAGCGACTGGGTGTTCATCTGACTCTTCGTACTTCTGGGGTTCGTGCTTAACATCTAGAATAACAGATATGTTCTGAATTGAGTTTTGTCCACGTTCACATTGCATTGTTGCTACCTGCCTCAGTAGCAGACTTGGAAAGATTGAGCTTGTCACTATCGTGCGAGTTTTGATTCTTTTGTGAGTAGTCCGAAAGATCCCTCCATTCCACATCAATGCTTGAGACATTTGTAAATAGAGAAATGTTCCATTTCCATTCTGTTTTGAACTTAGACTTGCCGCTGTTACTCGTAATTCAAAACGTGGCCAATCAGAGCTGGACTAGCGCAACCGGATACGGTTGTCCCAAAACCGGGTCATTGTATGAAACTTGGAAATACGCAAATACATGTTGCACAGTATTTTCGACCTTTGCGATCAATGATAAAATTGAACTGGAGCAAACAAGTAAATGGGTCTAGCTTCTAGAAAGTGTTAGATTCAATGCCCTCAAGTGAAAGGAACGAAGACTCACCATGAACTTCATGTTGCCAGTACCGGATGCCTCCGTACCAGCGGTGGAAATTTGCTGAGACAATTCGGAAGCAGGGAAAATCTTCTCGGCCAAAGAGACACGGTAGTTTTCCAAGAAGACAAGCTGTATGGGGAGGAAAAAACAGTTACAGCTGGTTGAGGAGATGAATACGACTGAATATTGTGGGGGGGGGGGCAAAATGTAGGTAAATAAAGTGAATTTTGTTCCCTCCGAATCGGGACTGAGTCTCGAGAACTTGACGTTGAACTGATGGGTAAGGTAACAAACCCTCCATTAAAAAGACAAGCGAATCTCGGCAATTTTAGTCCCTCTACTCCCTAACAAGGACCACATCTTTTTGAAAATCAGGAAACGCGATTAATTAGAAATCGTTTTCCGTTTAGCTGAGTTGCTATGTTCAAAACCATGTTACGCCCTGATGTCGCCTAGTGAGCTTGTTAAATGAATTTCCCGTGAAAAAGATGGTTTCGTAGCTGGTGTGCGATACGTCGAACCATGAGATATACCAAGTGGTGGCTCAATGGCACCAAAGTATTGTGAATAAAGCTTATTCGTGTGGCTAGTAATCATACTGAATGACTCAGCTCCGAGGAAAAACACACTCATACCCCCAAAAGATGAAATCAAAATAGTTTAGCACGGTCAAAGGGATGTTGCGGGAAACGTCTCTACCAGTGTAGAACTTTGACGATTATGAGTGTAAGGACTACAATGTCTGAAAACAGTGAAGCTGCACACGCTTGTTTCCTGAAAGGAGAATCAAGGATCACGTGCGTCTCAGTTGGCATACCTTGGAATCGTGCTAATAAATATAAAATGAATTGTGCTGTCCTCGACGTCTTTCCAAGCCTCATAAAAGTTTAACGCGTTCTATAGAAGCTCGGCACAGACAAATCCAAGTGAAAATACACATACATGACTAATCAGATAGAAAGAAAACGAAACAGTGAACGACAGTTAAGCCCAGAGTGATTTCAAGACTATGAAATGAGTCTCACAGTGTTTGTTTCACACAAAAATGGGGCACTTGGTTCCCTATTAGTGGCCCATGCTTATTGTTCATTACAGGGGAATCATCCATCAAAAGGGGGCAAATAGCGAGATCAGTACCATTACCGACAACAATGCACAGGCAGTAAATACTTTTGTGTAATTACCATATAGCCATGCGGTGACTTACTACAAACAGACCTATGGAAAACGATCAAGAACTAGGTGACCCTACACCATGAAGCAGCAACGAGGTAAACACACGAGTACCATGCGTACGAAAGACACCGTCAGCAAAATTGATAGTTTCTTATTATATGTTACAATTCCAATGTTATTTTTTTATTTACTGACAAACGGACAGTCCTTTGAGTCCGGTATTAGAGATTAGCTGAAACAGCTTCCGTTCACACTCGGCCGCATCAGAATCTTCAATTTCATAAACTTTTTGATCCCACTAATACCCTCTATCCGTATGAGATGATGTACCCATCGTTTATCATTTGCGATCTGAGCTCGATAGAATACAGCACCTCGCCTCAAGGAGCGACAGTACAATGTTATTTTTTTTATTTACTGACAAACGGACAGTCCTTTGAGTCCGGTATTAGAGATTAGCTGAAACAGCTTCCGTTCACACTCGGCCGCATCAGAATCTTCAATTTCATAAACTTTTTGATCCCACTAATACCCTCTATCCGTATGAGATGAAGTACCCATCGTTTATCATTTGCGATCTGAGCTCGATAGAATACAGCACCTCGCCTCAAGGAGCGACAGTAAGCGTTTCGTGTACACACCCGGCAAGGCCACACAAGGCACCACAGCCGTGGTGCACAGCTGCGTCAATTCCTTTGCAGTAACGATCAATATCCTGGGAAGAGACCGCCAACACAGCACCGTATCAGTAAGTTCCCCTAACTCGGGGGTCACAAAACTTCCCTACTGCTGAAAGATGGACTCGTTCCATGGAAGAATCGATTTGATTCAATCAATTTATCAGCTATAAACCGTGTACCACAGGCACATTGGTTCCAGCTGCTACATTTCCGATCACCGGAAAAACGAGAAAGTGGAAAGAACATACAACCAAGCCTTGGAGGCGAAGGCATGTTCAGTTTGTTCGGAAATTGGATAGCTACGCATTGAAGGCGACAGCTTTGATGCACAAGCGTCACTTACTGCGCGACTGGGCCATTTCCGCCAGTGTCATTAGCCACTGGTGATTTGAGTTCCGAGGTCCCCATTTAGGGAGATGGCAGTTGCCCACCCGACGGACGACTTTTACTGGTTAGTGTTTTCGTACTTGCCAGTACCACTAGGGACAGGGCTGAGAGAAAAGAGCTCTGTGAGGTAGACCATACGGTCTTCTGGCGTGCGAAGTACATGTCCCAACCAGCGTAGACTATGAGTAATTCATCCATCGCAGGAGAGTTCCTTCTTTCTAAGACCATATGGTGTACCTCAGCATTACTAATCCAATGTTCCCACCAGACTTGACCAGTGCTTCTGAGAATCTACACCAGAGGAGAGCATCATCTGAATCAGCGCGTTCTGTAGTGACCTACAACCAATAACTGAACCTGGCCATCGATGGTTGGTGGGGATGTGATCGATTAGGCTCCATGATTGCTCAGAAGTGGGGCACACTACTACGTCTAAGAGTGGCACTAATGATACGCGGTCAGTACAAGTTTGCAAAGGGTACTCAACACTGGCATCAAATTTAGCGCCTAGACCAAATGCACCACCGAGAAGCGCTTTCGATGAGCTGTGGTGCCCTAGTGTGTGCCGAAGTTTCCAGCCCTTACGAATCTATTTGAATTCTTCTTGCTGGACAAAGGGATGGTTTGTTCTTGATAGGAGGTGTCTTCCACCAAATCAAAGCCATGGTTGACGAGTGGTGCATAAATAGACGCCATAAACAAAGCGTGGTTGGTAGTACGTATTCTCATTGAAATGGATAGTTAGACAACATAGATCCGGATGTTTACGAGTACCCTGTCGAACTGAGAGCTATAACAACGCCGGCGGATGGAGTTGCAGTATCACCTGAAGTTCACAGACGACAGCGTCCAGAGAAGTAGCGTAGCGGTTTCAGAAATGCAGCGAACGTCTACTGATAACTTGTTTAACGCGTGCAAATGCAGCTTGCTAGCCAATTTGCCTAAAAGTTCATGTGTTAAAGGCTGCGGTAAAGATAGAAGAGCGAGGTTTGGAACGCAGATGCCAGGCGGCATACATGAGAGACGGCTAACCTCCCTGTGAGTTTGACTGGCGTGCTTATCGCGGATTGATTAATACGTGAGGTAGAGACATTAAGAGAAAACAAGGAAGACCGATTAGAAGTGACAAAAGATGCTTCTTTTCGATTGCTCATTCTGCCGGGTGAAGTGCCCCAACTGATGCTACATGAAGGACATCCATTCGCATATTTGATGGTTGTGTGTAAGTTGGTGTACTGCCAAGGCGATCAGAATTAAAGTTGCTGTCTGCCAAGGCGAACAAGAATTAACAGGATGACGACTAGAGTCCCCAACTCAAAAACCTGACCGCAAGAGAGTGCTTGGTGTGGGACAACCGGAGTAGTTTAACTTGTTAAGAAAAAAGGTGTTCCCGGAATGTCAGAGAGTGTGATGTTGATCAGGTTCAAAGGGTAGTCTCTGTTGCAACGACACCCAGTGAAGACTATCACAGTAGTCTGCAGTGTGTTCAGTAAGCAAGCAGGTCGAATAAACAACTGCTAACAGTCTAACAGTGACTGGGCTATAGCAATGGAATTCATGCACTTTTACCACAGGTCTATCTAATGAACCGACAATCACATTGGAGGCTCATTTGTCCAACTTATATGCTAAGTCAGATGTCGATCGTGTCTGAATATACGAACGGAAAAGGAGGATAAATTTGCCCTGATTCACGTGCAGCCACTCACTTTAAGACGACCACCAACAACTGGATCCGAATTGACCACTTTACCCACGGAGTTGATCAGCTTAATGATCAATTTAGCCATATGGTAGCCGGGAGCTGCCTTCCCACCAATCATCACCGTGCGCGGGCAAATCTCCACAGCCGGATTCGCCTTGATTCGGTTGTACAGGGTGATCACGTGAAGACAATTGAGAAGCTGACGCTTGTACTCATGTATACGTTTGACCTGGAACACACAATGACCGAAAAAAAACAGGATGAAGCATCGATTATGAAGGCAGTAACAGTGGGAGGGCGATGGTTGTTGCCATTGCTCTGAACAATTGAGTGAGGGGAAACAAAAGCGACAAGAAAAACATGTTACACGTTCTCGGACTTGTTGTGATCTGGAATCGCAGCTGATGAACGTCGACAACACAGTTTGGAGTACTTTGATAAGCTAGTTTTAGGAATACCGGTCAATGTGCCGCGTAAACTGCTTACAGTCAGCTTGTCAACTAGAACGGTTACCAGGTCACACTAGTATCAGAACCACAGTATCGTCGAACAGCGTGCTGCTGAAACTTAGCTAGTAAACCAGAACTCCCGCCAATCGATTGCTAGATGCAATATCAAACGCAGCAAAGACAGTCTGATTTGTTATGGTTTACAGCAGTGAAGTGCAATAAACAAAAACTGATTTGGAAGGAAAAAGGTAAAAAAATATCCACAGGAATCAAGGCGACAAAGGCCAGTGTGTCTGTCATATTCCGAGCACACCACATCGGCTGTGCCCAAAATAGCTTACATAACAAGGTTGGTTGATTTCAACCTTGACCGTCAGCTGACGCGATATGCATGTCAATATAACTCCGAAAAAATCGTGAACAATGTTAGGTATAGGAGGGAGGTAGCGTAAAGCTGTCCTGTCACAGTTTGCTCGTGCACACCTTCAACATGGGACCCAAAAAAACGGGGGGAGCGAGGTATGTTCTATTGATACCAGTTTGACGATGAATATAATCCTACATTGCAGACAATTGGATTTTTAAGCGTTGTAACTCATATCAGTCACCGAACGATTTGAAATCCGTAAGGTTATCGAGGAATAAATTTCTTGTGCAGATCAGGGGTGGTAACCATAGAATGTATATTCGCTCTACTAACAAAAGTTCACACTAACCGTTTCTATAATCTAATAGGCGGTAGATTGGGTGATCGGGCGCGGATTTTGTGCTTCAGGGTGAAATGATCACAAATGCATCGCCTAGGTAGTCAATGGTTATCAAATCACCCACCTTCAGGATTATGATGTGTAAGCAAAAGCGGACATTCACAGTCAAGTTGGAACACTCCCTGTGGGTCGTGTACGGACATAACTCTAAATCTGCAGTTACGGTCGAACGAAGAGTATCTAGCAACAGCTCGCATCTTTGCCCCCGAACAACACCAACAATACAGGAACCAAATGTCAGTTCAAAGATTCAGTGTGGAGATGAACCTGGATGATCCAAATGTCATGCACCCAGTCCAGGCTTTGTATGGCATTGGAAGCCATTGGACCCGTCCATGGCAGTGGAGAAAGTGCTACTGCCTCGACCCGGGCTAACTGAACAGCAATCGACATCCGTTTGAGGGCTACATTGAAACTATATTTGACGAGAAAGGAAACGATGTTACCGGTGATTGACGACAGCAGGAGTGTGTTGGGATTCCGAATACTGGCTGATGAACGCGATCGAGTGTCGTTTGACAGTCCGCGCATCTTTCGGTAGATGTGCAACCACCCGAACTTCTTTGCACGGGTACCTCGCAAAACACTATGGGAAAGCATTTGCTAATCGGTTGTCCATAGTATCTTCTTTCGCACACCCTGTTCGTCTTCACGTTTATTCACCTGATCACAATCGTTTGCTTCTAGCTCAAACAACAAATGTGTGCAGACGTGGAAGTACTACAAATGAACTAGTGGTGACGCCCACATATAGATAACAGTCCACAGAATCCTTGGTTGGGATGGCTAGCTCCCGGTCCATGTACGAGGAGAGAGAGAGAGATGGTCACGAAAAGTAATAGTTGGTCTATCCTGACTTGGACGAACTCATCATCACCATCAGTAATAGCAACACCAGATAAGAACACTGGTGCTTTACTGCCGTAAACTCATGTAAATTCATTTGAATAGAGCCTTGTAACGATAACAGGAAGAAATGAAGTAGCCAGGGGTGACTAGCGCCAGCCCAGCTCAAACATCCGAGGTGTCTACATCTCCAGCAACCAGTCAGACAACCTGAATAGTAACTGAGCGCTACTGATATCGGTTGGCTGCCATTTCATTCCGTGTCTTTAGCGAAGCACAGCGAGGAACGCGCGGATAATATCCTGGAAGGGTGACAGCGTCAAAGCACCCAAACTTCCATAAGATCAGCCGCGAATGGGCCGGGTCACTGAGACCCACGATTGACGTTTGGTATAGGTAACAACCCAGTCCCGTTTCCAGTGAAAAGCCTCCCTTTTTGGAAGCATTTTCTTGGAGCGGCTGACTGGCTCTCCTCTCCGTCCGAAGTAAAGCGGACAAGGGTGGATGAATTGAGATATCAGGCGTCTCACTGGTTCCACTTCCTTATTCAGACGTTAGGGTAGTTTGTGAAACATGTATTAGAAGACCGATACAGTGGGACGGTTGCTTCGAGTATTCGTGGAAACCCAAGGAGACACCACCAGGACAACCAGTCATGTGCCTAATCACGTTATCTTATCACATGTTGATGGTGTGACAATAATCGCCTGTATTTGTTGCACTGGTCAGTGCACACAAAAAAAACTGACGAGTGAACAAGCATTGGTAACGCGACCAAGTTGGGCCGGAGGGCTCAATCGATGGAGCAGAAGACTTTTTGGATTAGCGTATGGAAAAGCGAATTCCCGAACACTTTCTATGTGTACAGGCACAATGAAACACTGAAGACATAATGTGAAACTTGTCGGGGAAGGCGTCGTTTTGTGTCATGTTTGTCGAAAATAAAGGACGCAACCTGCAGCACGTTGAGGGTAAACGAGTGAAAGGTGCAAACGCAAGAAAGCATGCTAACCTGTATATCAAAGAGAGAGGCTGTGTTCAAGTGTATTCCGTAGTTCTGCTCCATGTAGCCAGCAAATTTGGCCTTGTTGTCGCGCTTGATTCGCATTAGGTTACGCAACAGAGCAGTATCGTTCACACGGGATTTGAGTTGATTAATCAAAGTCAAATCGGTGATCCATGCGTCATTACCATTCAAATTCTCCATGATTAGATCGGACAGGTTCGGGTTGCAGAGCAGAAGCCAACGGCGTGGAGTGATGCCGTTGGTTTTGTTCTGGAACTTTTCCGGCCAAAGTTCAGCGAAGTCTTTGAAGCTGTGAGTAAAGAGGATTTACAAAGAAATGAAGAAATTGCCCCGAGGCTGAACAGCGCAAGCCGACCAGTGTGTGTACTCAGAAACTACCAACAATGAAGATTAATTATGGCGGTTTCAGGGGGGGCAAAGCCGACGGTGATATTGGACAAGAGGAATCTGCTATCTGAGTTACTGTGGACCCTACGTCACATGTTTGCAGTAAGACTTCGCCACTCACCTCAATTGTGCCGAAAGCCTTTGACTGTTGATCTACTCGGTACATCTTGGATTTAGCTCCTGGTCAGCACTCACGGTTTAGTGAAAACGAAACGGAGAAGCCTCTACTGTCGTGACTTACATTTGGGTCTTCAGCAAGTGCGAGTGGATGGCAGCCACACCATTGACAGCGTGTGAACCAACAATGCACAAGAAAGCCATATTAATTCGCTTTTCACCCTCCTCTTCAACCAGTGACATGCGACGCACGCGTGCCTCATCGTTAGGGTACCGGCTCCGTACAAGCTAAAAACAAGTGAAAAGATTTTGTCGGAAGTTGTCGAGTGATACGAGGATGGTAGAGTAGAAATTAAATAGGGGAATGAGTGCGTGAGACAAAACTGAGTACAAGCTGACCGATCGAAAGACTTATTCGTTGCGTGAGTAGCACTAGCACACAGTGTCCAGCAGTGTTCAAACACTGGGCTAGCCGGCTAAATTCGCAACCAAGGCTCCATGAGAAGGGTTGGCTTACCTTTAAAGAAAGTACACCAAGTCTCGTTGCCTAAGGGCACATGAAGAAGGTAACAGTGATAACAAAAAGCTTCTAGTTACGCCCTACACAAACACAGCTTATTAAACAATCAAGGGTTGGTTCCCTGGAGGTTCACCAACCGAATGAGCCAAAATGTGCGTACGCCTCTTTTCAGCAGACAACCAGTCATGTGCCTAATCACGTTATCTTATCACATGTTGATGGTGTGACAATAATCGCCTGTATTTGTTGCACTGGTCAGTGCACACAAAAAAAACTGACGAGTGAACAAGCATTGGTAACGCGACCAAGTTAGGCCGGAGGGCCCAATCGATGGAGCAGAAGACTTAAATGAGTCTTATTGGATTAGCGTATGGAAAAGAGAATTCCCGAACACTTCCTATGTAAACAGGCACAATGAAACACTGAAGAGATAAACGTAAAATTGCTTAATTGGAAACCACACAGATGACGGGCGAAAATCCCTGTTTAACTAAGTATCTTACGGAAAAGACTCCTTGTTTATTTATCCGCAGTTCGCTCGTACAAGATGGGAGGGACTAAAATGAGGAGAAAAGCTCGCTGCAGCCAAAACGTTGTTAAGTACCACTTGTATGGCACGGTCGTCGGAAGATTACATACCATAGGAGACAAGCCCATAAAGTGTTACGCCAGCGTGTTACTTTAAAGTTACGGAAAAATCAAATCACCAGTCTAGTAGACAGATATCATACAAAGTTCTTATTCAGACTTGTGGACATGTAAGAGTACAGAGAGAACTCTCCAAAAGTTTCGATAAGTGTGGCCAGCGTACGCTGAAAAGCCGAGAAGAACTGTACGGTAGTGTCTCCTCATCTGGGATTATCGGCAGTGCACAACTCACGAAGATCAAGACAGTCTAGAACCTGCAACCTTCCAGATAATAGTTTGATTATGTATGATTGTCCACACATGGAGAGGATGGTCACGTGTTGACTGGCTCCTCGAGTGAGGACTTCTCATATAGGAGTTTCACGCATCGGATGAATTCCTCTGAGCTACTTTTAGACTGTTGATAGTGTGAGGAGATCTGGTGATTTCAATGGGGATTTCGTTCTTTAGTCAGGGACATTTTGTTTGCTTTCACGATTTAAGCTAGCACCAACAAATTCGTAATGACGCAATCGGAAAAAGTGTTCCATAAAGCGACAGATAGGTTGCCTGGAGCGTTTAGCCGGAAGTACATGCGACATGGTTCGGTCGTGTATTAGGCAGTTATTCTTTACAGAGAGCAGTGCTGCTTTCCACGCCTAATTCGCGGGAGCGAAAGTAAAGACGGACAAAGGAAGGCCTTCGCAGGAACAAGAATTTCACAAGAAGTCCTGGTGCTCTCAGTGCCTGAATGGTGCTGCGGGACGTTGAAATATTTAGCCTATGGACTGATGCCAACAGCATCAATGTCAGTATCTATATAGCTTGTCCGACAGACCGCTCGAGGTGTGGACATCTCGGATGTTTAACGTAGGAAAACAGTATATAGTTTCCCTATTCAGTTTTTCTCTTCACTGTACGATGAGGTTTAATTAAATCGACGTGGTTGTGCGGTAAAAAAGAATAAACTTTCAAGAGTATTTTGTTGTCACTGACGACAACGATCACAGTGATCGTGCAAGGTGTTGTTAGGTTGCTCAAACCAAGATTGGGTCACCAAGCAGTTAGGAAGCATTTGAACCGAGGACCTTAGGCCTCATGTATTTACCCCTGACCTATGTAGCAAAACATTCAACGCATGTCCAACATTAGAGAAGTGGTATAGCTGGCGAATGTATCTTAATTTTTTGGTGTTAACACCCCAGTATCTGAACTTGAACATAAAGGGTGTCTGTCAAGAAATCGCGTGTGAGAATGTCCGCTGAGTGAGATGGTGGTCATTTGAATCCGCAATACATCAAATCCCATGTCTTCGCCGAGTTTGAAGGATAAAAGTGGCTCAGGACAACCGAAAATCAATCTGCCAGTCCGGAAAAAAGACACACTGTGAAGTGTTCAGTAGTGATGTTTATCAACAGCTGGGTATTCGGTTCACACATCACGGTGTACGAAAGGGTGTGAACGGAGATGCGGAACTTGTGGAGACCGATAGATAGAGACCCCATCGCATTCGGCGTCCTTGATTGAAGATGTTGCGGAACATCTATTCAAATTATATGTAGCTAAAGTTTGAATTCACCGCAATGATTGTAGAAAACTGACAATAAACCCTGAAGTTCTTGTCCCCATTTTCCCCCAAAATGAAATTTTTTATGGCTGTGTACGAGTGAGCCCTTCGTGTCGAGTCTACTATTCCAGTCTACGCAAGCGTAATGGGTATATATATATATACCTGCATTCCCCTCATTAGGATTGAGTAGATCAGCACATAAAGTCACTATGAAGCATGATGAACCCGATGACTGATTCTATCTACAAAGAGGCTCTTGCATTCTTCCCACTGTCCAAACCGATAGCAAAGTTGGCATATTAACCATTTAAGTCACCCCATCATTATTATCACTGACAGAATCACCAGATGGGAACACTGATGTCTCACAGCCATACAAACATGTAAATTTATTTGAAAAAAGCCTTATAATAAGAAAAAAGGAATGGGGTATGGAGGGAGACCTAGGGCTGCCTACAACAAGTTGACAACATGAATGCCACCGACTTCGGTTAGCCGGGAGTGGGCCGTTGATAAGTTTCCATCAACGTTCAATCAACTTGTATATCCTGTAAAAATTCAGCCTTTTATTCTGTTCATGAACATCACGAGAAAGACCCTCACTTGCACCTCAAATGCTGACCGGAAGGTCCGTGGTTCGAATCCGACCTCTGCCTTTCGACTTCCCCTGTCTAGGCTTGGGCAACCTGGCAGTATCCCAGCCCTCGTGCAATCTTCGGGTAGCATGGCAGCTAGGCACCAGAAGGATGTTACAGTTGAGCGAGCATCAGAACACGTAAAGCGGACTGCATGAAACCAAAAGATTACCGCCACACTGTGGGTGCACTTCAATCACAATCAATTGTAGACAGCTAGCATACTGACCGCCGGTTCAAATCTCCACACGGATTCATCAGCTGCGCGCTTCTGACCATTTCCAACAAGGACAAAACACACATTTACCGCTTGTTCAACTTTTCAGCATAAACTCAAACCAACAGGACATGTTAGAAATTACTTCTTATAAAAAACAGATGGCCGGCATGTGTTAAAACCCGTCAACTTCGTCGAACAGACTGTGACTGTAATCCGCAATGTTTACACAGAGAATCGCGTTAAGTGGCGTCGAATTTCGCGCTGTCGATAGTTTTTCCGGAAATGCTATGTTGCGTGTTTAGGGACACGCGCCAGCAACGAACTTTTTGGACATTGGCTGGTCATAGGATTCAATAGAATAACTTGCAAACTTATCGATCAGTGGAACTGACCTGGTTATGCTTTGGGCGCAGATGCCGGATAGCCAGCCGTATGCCAGAATTGTTACTGCAGGAATAAGGACACGTTAACTTCCTGTTCATCTAGTTTGTTTGGACCAAATTTTGTTTTATTTATTCCTTATCCTTGACCCTGTTTCGGGTATCCATGAAAAACCGTGACCAGTCACCTGTAGGCAGTTATTAGACCGCTTCACTGATTCGACTATATACTGCTATGGTGGACTGATACAATCAGTTTGCCTGAGATGTATGGTTTTTGGGCACCATTGGAAACTAGACCATCGAACTTTGAAGCAAACGAGCTCCCCTGAAGACCGACTAGAATTCCGTACCTTCTTGTGACGAAGGTTGGTAACGATGTCACAAAGTGGTACAAACCTTCGCTGTTTGGAAATCTAACTGGCAAAGTTGTTCAGGCACTTACGGGAGTATAGAGAGTTTGCTACTGATGGATAGGCAGTCTGCGAGGTAAGGTAATGATGTGGAGGTTGTCCGTAGCATTGCAAACACTACCATTGTATCGGTGATACTACTGATGGGGGAGGCATGCGAGCAGTATGTTTTCTTGTAAATTCGCCCTGCGTCTCTGGAAAAGGGAGATCTGTTGCGGAATTTGAGGAATCGCTTTGTAGCATTTGCTTGGATTTGAGCAACAGTCAATGAATATCCAGGAAAGTCCAGGAAGACGCGTTCAAGAGAAAATGGATGTTCAGTTTTGTAAATAAGATGCATATGAGAGTTTTGCTCTCCTGTCCAATAAACTGTAACTGGTCGGTTGGCATTTTCCAATAAATAACTCCGCAGCGAAGGTCTTCTTCCTTTCACCATGAAATCCAGACGGGATAGCTGCAAAAATTAAGTCCAAACTTGTTAGCCACCCCTCAAACCATATGTTCCGGTTTGAACTTTCCCAACACCACATTTCCCCACAGGTTCTGGAGAAAAGGTCACAAAGTATCGCTACGTGAATAGAGAACAGACAAGAACATACCTCCAGGAATTCTGCATTGATCTGGAAAATGATTTGCAAGTGTCGTGGAAGGATGTGCTCCAAAAGTGAAACGGGCCAACGCTCGAGTGCCTCAGGCAGGATGGTATGATTCGTGTATGCAAAGG